CGCTCCTGCTCCACCGCCCACCACCAAGGCTGAGATGGCTCCGGCCCAACGGCGTGCTGCGGGCCCGTGGTGGTAAGCGCTCGCCCATTCTCTACGGACCACTTGCTTCATTTCTGCCTTTTATTTGCACTCTGTCCTGTTGCTACTCTTTTCTTCTCTTTGTCTCTTTTTGTAATAAAAGCTGCATTGGGTATAGGGCATTTGACCTCATTTGCGTCTTAATCTCGCTCTTGGGATAGTATCAAAACCTCTGACATTGGATCGGGACAGAGAGTACGCTGACAACTCCCTTCAATTTCAGGTATTGAGTGACTCACAAGCCAGAAATTTGCAGAACAAATCAACGATTATTAACATACACATTCTGACTTATATAAAAATGTATCACTGGAGATTGACAGGAAATGTTCAATGGAAATAAAGATATTGAGCCTTAAATCAACACAACCTGCCTTTAGCCACAAGAGTAGCAAAGTCACAAAGGTCTCACAGGTGACTGTGTCTACGTTTCATTTGAACAATCTGAACTACAGGCTTAGACAGCCTGTCCACAAGGTTATGTGTTGCCCTGCCTTTTCCAAGTGTAAGATGTCTCCATGTACTCGTGCACATGAAGGCCTCAGGGGAGTGAAGCTATGTGATTTCCTTCTGCTCTCCAACTCTAGTCCCTTTGCAGACTAGAAAGAAACTTTCTTTTTTTTTAGCAAATGCCAAGTAATGTGTTAATTAAAATATCTAGCAGCTGCTTCAAAAAAAGTACACAAAATCATGTTAATTGTAAAACAGCAGAAGTTGCACCATTACTTTTAATACTTCACTGAACTTGGCACTGCTTTCTCTAAAAACACAGAACACTTTAAAACTATGCTGTCCAGAACACCTTTCTTGAAGGATACCTAAATATACAGCACAAAGCACACGGGATTACAAATAATTGATGTCATTCCTACACAAGTTGCTCCTTTGCTTGTCACTATTTTAAACGTATTTTTGTTGCTGTCTCACTCTGTTCTAAAAAAATCACTATCTGGCTGATAGACCAAGAGTGCATTGGTCAGTGTTAAGAGAGTTGTTTTTTCCCCTTCTTTTGGTGAAATGAGGGGAGTGGAGCATGGTGGTATGTGGAAAGTCCTCTCACAGCACTTGTCCTGCATGGGACAAGCCCTGCTAAATGTAATCTGATCTGGGCTGCTTACTTTGCTGGAGGGGCTTTTTTTTTTCCCCCTGCACAGGTTATGCTGAATAAACCTCAAATTGTTATTCCAAAACCCATTAGTATTAAATATGGCCTGATTTGTGCAACTATTTACAAAATAATTATTTATGTTTGCAAAGATAATACAATGGACATGACCAAGTAAATAGGTCCTTGTGCTTTTGTCCTTCAAGATGTGTACTTGTAAGAAGCACTACTACAAGTACTTCTGACAGTTTAAGCCAGCAGCATTTGGAACTCTCTACAGGTTCAAGTCTTCAGTTCTCATTTACATCCCCCTCTCTTTCATACTTTATCTATTTCTCTCATTGTCTTCCTATTGTATAATTACTCTTTAAATAGTGTTTTGGCTCACAACAGTTGCGTCTTTTCATAACCTTTTTTTATTACTTCATATACAAGGAATTGGAAGTCACCAATTTTGAAATGCTTAGAAGTAATAAAACCAAAAACCAGTTCATAATAGCAGATATTTGACTACCACAAAAGGAATTCTTATGTTAAGGAGGCTTTAAATGCAAAACCCTTACTCTGTAGGACAGGACAAACAAAGCTGAGACATTGTCTGTTTGATCTAGAGTCATGGACAATCATGCTATGAAAGATTTAGATGGAAGGTTTCAAAAGATTACTAGATATCATTGTGTCTATTGCCCCCAAATGATATCCTAGAGCTGATCATCACAGCCTTCCTAGTCACCTTCAAGGTACTGCATGTGCACCATTCATCTCCTCTCTTAGAATCAATTTCTGGTATAGTTTATCTACATCATTTTACAAGACACTGAAAGGAATTACGAGAATGTCTCAGGTTTGGAGATAGAAGTGAGAAGCTAAGGAAGTTACTTTGAGTCATGCTAACCAGAACCACAGAAGCACGCCTGGATGCACCTTGACTCTCCATATGACAGAACTGCAACCAGGACCTAAGCTGCACTTTGCCACACGTGGTGAAAGCACACCAACAACCAAAGGAAAACAAAACAACCCATAGTGACAGAAAGGAGGTCAAGATAAAAAGCCTGGCTCAGCAAGGTAGCGGTATTCGGATTTACATCCTGTTTCATTTACACCCTAGCGATTTTTGAAGATTTCACCTCAAACTGCCTATGTTGACAGAACTCTGAAGAACCCCGGCATTGAATTTTAATTCCCACATAGCTCACACAGAGATACAGAGACACACTTGGAAGACTAATTTCTTCTATTCCTTTTGCACACTGCTAAGCAGATAAGCACTTCCGGAGTTCTGAAATCAAACAGGTTTAATTTTTTAAAAGTTTTGCCAGAAATAAACCATCTTACTTTGTGAGTTCATGATCTGAAAGCAGCTGTTTTAGATGCCTAGAGAGCAACTTTTTTTCCATAGAGAGACGAACCCAGGCTCTGGCCTTGCCAACATCTGTTTTGATCTCACTAATATTCTGGATATGCCTGGAATAAAAAGAAAAAAAAAATTTATTTATTTTTTTTTTAAAAAAGAGGCTGCCCAGTATTTTCAAAGTGTGACAGTTCTTTTGAACCAGGCTAGGCTGAAGAAGAAATTTTGGCAAGAATGCAAAATGTCAGGCAAACTACTTGAAAAAGAGACATCATCACCTTAATATTCAGCACTAGCTAAATTCTTTGCGTATCTAGCTCAAAAAGAATAAGAGCCTGAAAAGGAAATATCTGCAATGCAGTGCCCTATTTACAAAATTCTAAACCAGGCCCATTGCCTCACATGATTTAAGAATCATTCTGGACCTTATCACTGCAATATTTAAGGCTGAATGCTTTGGAAAATTAAATACTGTCTTTGCATGCTCAGCAGTAGCTTTTCTTGCATACAAGACAAAAATATTTTATTTTAAAAGGACAAGCATGTCCCTTGAAAATTTCAATTCACCCACACCACTGAAAAAAGTTGGATGTTGATAAGGAAAAAGGCGGAAAGAAAAACCTTTTCAAAATTAATTTAGAAGTTCTGCATATTGTTTTTTCATGTACTAAAGAGAAGGTATTGAGCAGAAGTTACAGTTTTATTCCACTAAGGCACTCAATGTTAGATAAACCCACACTTTAGATCAGACAAGCTCTTTAAACACTTTCTTCACTGGGAAGCAAGAATGAGCTAAGAGCTATACAACCAACTTGGCAATGACTGGGAAAACACACTACATTCACATTTAATTGGAAAGAAAACAATACAGAATACTTTAAAAATATGAAAACTGTGTCAGGCTATTTCTATAAGCTAGTAAATGTGACAATATAAAAACTCCTCAGTATGAACCATGGTTTTTGTAAAGGCCAATGAAAAGGATGCACTATATACTTAAAAACAGTTCAGAAGGTTCCTTCCTCACATCACTCTCCTGCAGTATGAAATATGGACTTTTCTTTATGGTAAATATTATACACAGAAGCAAGTATGCAAAATCTCACAGGTTTTCTGTGTTAGTTTTAACAGTTTAAACTCACCTCATATCCTGGATGAGAGAGATTCTGAGAGGTGACATGGCTGGACTAGTATCAGACTTCCTCCTTTCTGAATCAAGAAGTATTCCTAGATTCAAAGAACAGAATCTGTAGTTAGTACATTTTAAAATCTACATAAAAAACCAAACTGAATTAACACCAACTTGCACTCTTGCATTATTGGTGACTCTCTGCTTTGTGAAGGTACTGTGGCATATTTCCACTTCAAGTGACATGAAAATATAGTAGACAGATGGTTATGAAGATCAGCACACACTGAGCATTAAAACACTAATGAGCCTAGATTCAGCTGAAATTGGTATGACATCAAATGGCTTAAGCCAATCTCACCTGAGGTACTGAAGCTGCCTGATGTAGTTTTTCTCTGTCTGTTTTCTAGATAGTGTAACAAATGAGACCACAAAGCAGACTTCCCCTAAAATTAAAAAAGTAAAGAAAAATTAAAATTTTAATTTTAAATCAACAGTGAAAGTATCAGCCATAACAAAACTTGTTTTAAATGTTTCTCCCTACAAAGTCATTGGTAAAAAATAAATTAAAAAAATAAAAAAGAGGCACAAGTTGGAGGTGCTCAGGAGCTGTAAAGAGGTTGAGAAAGAAAAGAAAGAGTCAAACTACTGGGATCTAGTGATTCTGGTAACAGGAAAAAGTTGATGGAGATTTATTTCTCATTGTTCAATAACACAACAAGAAAACATTTAAAGGCTTGGACAACACTAAGTACAGTAGAGTTTCAAGTCTGAGGCCAGACCCTGCACTGTTTTGCCTTTCCCTCCCTCCCTCTCCAGCAGTGAAATAAGAAGAGACACAGAGCCAGCCTGAGGAAACCATCTCACATCCAGACCACATCTGGTGCATCTTCACCCTTGAGGATAATTCATGGCTACAGATGTATGCTATCAATTTTTAGAACCTCTAAAGAACCCCTTCAATTTCATCTGACAATAACTTAGATAAAGACGAACACAGTAAGAGAGTCCAAATCACAACCAGGACAATGAAAGCTTATCACCAAGAATACTCCAGCTCCACACATTATAAAACAAGCTTAAAAGTTAAAATATGGAATGCAGTATTTAGGCCAAGATAATCTGTCAAATCGTGTTAAAAGTTTGCTCATTATGTAGCTTTCCTAAATCTCTGGTGGCTAAAAGCAGAGTGTGAGGATATCTTCTGCTGGCAAACTAAAAGGATTCTTGGATGCATCCTAAATACTCCACATGATAAAGCAAAAGCTTGCAAAGCCACAGAAAGGCAGCAGTAATTGAACAGGGACTCAGCAGCACATTAATTGGAATCATTTACAGAGGATATCCATTAGTATTACTTATCTTCATAAATTATATTAACTTGAAAACCCAGTAAAGATTCAGCAATTCTACATTTCAGAAGAGCAGTCATATTATAAAGACATTATTTACAATTTTGAGCAGAAAGGAACCATGACTGTAAAGCAATAGTTGTCAATTCAAGAGTATCCGTGAAATTTTTTTTTTTTAAAAAAATACTATTTTTAAAAATCTCTGAACACTTCAATCCTATACCTCACCACAGTGGGCATAAAAATCCTGACATCCAACATGGAAAGCCAAAATTGCAAGTCTTATAAAAACATAAAAAGAGAGCATGAAAAAATATCAACCAGGGAACAGTTATATCCAAAATGGTATTTCTCTCAGTAAACACACACATGCACACACAGTCTAGTGTTCAGCAACTAGCTGCCATGGCAAGGCAAACTGCAACACATCATATAAAGCAGCAAACAAAGGATCCTGCAGCAAATAGATGTCAGCAATCATGATGAATGTAAGAATTCATGCACTTCCTTTATCATCATGTTACTCTCCTTTAACTTCACCAAATAGCAATGATGATGCAAGCTGTACCTTCAAAGGAAGGGAAGATAGCCTAAGGAAAGCAGTGGGATAGAAAAGAGGCAAGGGAATAACCAAGGCCTTCTGAAAGTTCCCACTACTTCAGTCAGACTCCACACGGGACAACCTCCTGCATGGCTCTGGGCAAAGGAAGGTGTGGATTCACTTTGCATGTGGAAGGATCAGTAGGTAGCTAAGGTAGGACTACCAGGGTTCATCAGCAGGGAAAAGGTAAAAGCAGGGATTGGTGGAAGGAAAGCCATCCTCATTACTATGGTCAACTTAGAAAGAAGAGTCTCCCTTGGCTCATTACTGAAAAATAAAATTGATTTCTAAAACAGCAGCCTTTTTCATATTTAATAAAGGCCAGAGCAAACAAAATTGCTGGTGCCTTTTTTTTTCTTTTTTTTTTCTTTTTTTTTTTTTTTTAAAAAAAAAGCAAACTGTGGATCATAATATGAGATGCATTGCACTTCCTCCATCAGGCCTCCATTTTATTCCACCATTAAGCACTGTTTGCCAACATCTGCAATCAATCCAAAGCATTAACCTTATGTAGGGTTGGCCGCCTGGTGGTCTGAAAGGCCCAAATCTGAGTTGAAGCAGAGTATGCTGATGCTCTGTCTTCTAAGACGAAAGCAGTACAGCTTCTATCCTAAGTGATATACAAGAGGGAAGGGAGAGAATCACAGGATAAATCTTCACATCGAGAACTGTTATACAGTTTGATGGAGAGCAGATTTAAACACGGGAGCTTGAGTGCTGGGAACAGAGACAGTGAATTACAGTTATCTGGATCATACATGTTTATTCTGCACATTCTTTTTAACAAGTTATAATCCTCACTGTCCTTGCTATTCCTTTGTACAGAGGAGGAGGAAAGGATAAAGGATCTCCAAACTCCATCTAGTGACTCCAAACAAAAGACTACAACAATTATTATTTCCATATGAAAAGCAACACCTCTAAGTAACAATCTTATAAACATCATTTAATTATCCCTACATCATTCAGGAAAAACAAAAATAGTGTTTTACTCTTAAAAACTAAATTTTCCTTAATGAAAACAAATTCCCCATACCATATCCCATTGACAGTACCTTTAGCATAGGCTGCCTTACAGCCTATGCAACTTCATTAAACAAAGTATTGAGAACATAGAAATGGTTTTATTCACCATTCTATTAAAAGCATAACCAAAACCCACAAATCAAATAAAACCAAACCCCCAGGTTAAATGGAAAAAAAGTCTTCCCAGAAGTCATTGTGAATATGTCAACATGTGCACTTGCACATACCCCAGAGCAAAAAGCAGAGACAGACAAGGCAGCACTAAGTGACACAAAAAAGGCTGGGAGAGGAACGCAAATATTTCAACAGGTCTGTATACACACAAAAGGTATCCTCTGAAAGCACAATGAGGAAGAGCATAAACATGGCTTCAGGAAAGTGTGCTCTGCAACATACAGGAATACTTGTTCCTCACCTGTTTGACTTGCAGACCATGACTCCATATCCTTTCTAAGAGGTCACACAGACTGGCTATCAGGGTATTCTCTTCTACACCTGTGATATTCACTTCACCATGACCTAGCTCCACAGCTTCTCGACCCATTTTTTCAACCAACATTCTCTTGGTCTCAAAAAGGAAAAGGCAAAAGTGTTAATTTCTTCCACAGGAACTTCCAAGATCACTTACATTTTTTAAATAACCAACAAAGAAGCACACGGTAGCAAAGACTTGGCAGAATAACTGGATGTACACATTATTTCTGAAGCTAGTGCAGACTGCATTTCTCTTATCCCTGTTTTTCAAGCCATGGCAGCACCAGTGTTGATCACTTCACAGCCTCTTCCACCTTTCTAACAAGGGGCTTGCAGAGGAGGCTTTACATAAGCCTCCACAAATTACCCCAAAGGGAACAGCAGGCCACGCACTGACAAGCTAGAGGCCCAGCAGCAATGCCCTGCAACACAAGTTTGGCTGCTTTAGAAGCCCAGTGAGTGCTGGCCTGGGAGCAGTGCACTATGTGCACCCTCTCCCCGGGGAGGCGAATGTGTACAACAGCTTCTAAGTAGCAGCAGGACACACTGTTCCTGTGAGACTGTGTTCTGTCAGAATGGTATTTGCATTTTACACAAACCCATTCTGGAGTGCATCTCTTGAGCTTCCTAATGAGCCACATTCTCCTAAAGTGTCCACAATTTCATGCTAGTCAAACAAGCTCTCACCAACTATTAAAAGTACAGTCTCCCAGTCACAGTATAGTCATCATATAGCCACCTGGAAGGAAAAAATGGCTAGGAAATTACTTCTGTTCCTCTCTTACACATTTTTCCATCTTTGTTGCTGTTCAAGAGTAGCTCTCAAACCAGTAATACTCCCTTAGGCACCTATGCACAGTCTTAGTTGAGCTGAACTCCATGTCAGTCTCTAGCTGCTTCTCCTCCTCGCCTTCTCTTTGCTAACAGCAAGCTCACTAGAGTTGCATTCCCACAGTGAAAGAGAAAAGTCTACCTACAAGGATTTTCACCTTCATATGCCTCTACTAAGTGAAGAAGATTATTTGGACAGTTTCATACATAAAAAAAGTGACACAAAGTGATATCAGAAGTAGATGCATGCATCAGACAGTCTTCTCCAAAAAGCTGTATACAATTGCTACATTACCTCTACCAACTTAAGACAAGAACATGCTTATTTGATAATTATTGTCTTTGCTGTATTAAGATAAACATGAACATTTAGTTCAGATTAATATATTATCAAATATATACAGGTGAAGCATATCTACAAACTAATGCTATATTTCTTTAAGTGCTTGAAAACATGTTTCAGAATTTGTTAACCTGTTTCCTTTAGTTATGAGAAAAGCTCCTGCATTTGCACCACAACCTCCTCTTTCGGAACATTCAACTCCTACTGAAATAGTACAGTCTCATCAGTGATAACTGAAATATGCTATAATACACACTGGCAGCAGGATGAAAAAGGCCCATCAGAATATTCAATTTCTTTCTATCATTTTATATTCTCTACCCTAAATCTGCTTGATAAAGTTTTCACTCCTTACAGAACTTCTAAATACGTTATGTCTTCATAAGTTCCTCACTACTGTGCCAAAGCCTTCATAGGGATAAAGTAGAAACAGATAGCCGAAGAAAGAGGTTCAAACACACTGGCCACAAAATGGTCCATAAAAAACAGATATGAGGTGCAAGAGAACAGAATTATTCTGTGTCTTACCTTATTTAGGCATTCCTTCAACAAGCCTTCTACAAACTTCCAGTTTGTTTGCGCAATGACCGACGGAGAGAGGTTGGACAGCTTGGGCTGCCGGATAGTGCTGCCCAGATTCCTGGCTTCTTGGATGTACTTCTGTGTCGGGGCAGAGAATTGACAAATAGAGATAAAAGTGGGACTGAGACTACTCTGCCAAGAGAACAGGGTAAACTTATCTTTATAACCCACCCCTGGGCCATGAAGAGGAAAAGATCACATCCTCTTTCAGAAAATGCTCCTTCTTATATCCAGCATTATACTGAGCTGAGACATTTAAGGTATTATTTCACTGGAGTTCAAAACCCCACTTACATTGTCTATCTGGTATTAGAACACGCAGTTGCTGAATAATAAAAACACAATAGAAACTGCCAAGGACATTTGGATGCATAGATTCAATTACTTCCTCCAGCACTAAGAAATGTGTTATTTTTTCATATAAAATTAAAGTTTCAGATGATTACCCAGTCCAAAACTATCCAAGTGACAGACTGGCCTACGCAGGGACTGTAAGAGAACTTTGCCTGTGCTTGACAACCTCTGAGATCTGTGCTATGCCCTGCGTTACTGCAGATCTCCTGTTTCTTACCCACCCTTCCAATCTTTCAGGAAGCAGCTTCAAAACACTACAGCTCTCAGCTGTGAACCATCTGCATTTTTGTGTAAAATAAATTCATGAACTCACTACACTTGAAAGAGCTTTTCTGCTCCTGTTACTGCTATCAAGAAGTTGCCATTGTTTTCACCTCAGAGACAAGAATAATATGACATATGTTTTGAAAGTCAGTTGATCACAGATTGGTTGGGGCACAGCTAAGTGATAAAGAGAAAGCCCTTTATAGGCACTGACAGAATACTTGGGCTTACCATATATTTCAAATTAATAGGTAACTTCTCTATCTTACACTGAAATAATGACCAACTAAAAAGTCAGCAAACAGACAAATTTGTTGAACACAGCACCATCTTTACAAAGAGGGAAAACTACACCTTCTCCATCAGCCTTGCACTACAGTCATGTTATATACATTTCATTACGTATCTTTATCCAGAACTATGATTACACGTATATTGTGCATTGGACATACCAGATAACGGTCTGACACAGATTTTATAGAGGGCATGAAGGGCCAAGCATGCTGGTCCCAGTCTAAACATAACTGCAACTGAAGCTCTGACATGGAAAAGTCCAGGTGCTGGCAGGAGAAGTTGGTAGCAAAAAGCCAAGCAGACCATGCAAAGTGAAAAGCAGCAACGACATATGAAGTAATGAAAGCAAGCATGCAAAACAGAAAAGAAGAGTGAAGACATAATACAATGCAGAATTCCCAAGCATAAAACATAAAATTAAATTAATAAGTAATTAATCTGAAACGGAAAAAGAAAAGATGGTGTTCAGTCACTGGACTGGCATAAATTCTCTCCTCCACTGAGCACAATTATTTGCAAGTTAAAAGCCACTACGTATCAGTTCCACAGATTTTTGTTTGCTGCCCCAGAACTTCAACTTGTCTAAAATTCACAACACTGCACTTTGAAAGAACTGCCTCTAGCTCAGCCTGATCCTCAGTGTTCACCTCAGAAGGACTTCTTCCCCATACTTTGAAACTTAATAGGGAAGTCTCTGGTTCACTTTGTAGAGGAGGGGGTCAACATTCAGTCAGTATTATGTAATCAAAAAAGTACAGCACAGATTAACCTGGCAGTTGGTACCTTCACCTGAGCATGTATTTGTACTGCTCAGAAATAGATAGAGTAACTCCTGCAGGATAGTCAACCTGTGAAGAGCCAGTTAAAAACAAACACACACACCCCACAGAGACCAGAAGTAGATTTTTGCCTTTCTAACTACCCGATCCAGATGTTTACACATGCTAAATATCATAGTTGTTGAAAGCAATAATGAAGTTCCAAATCAACTATTCTTCACTTCTGTTACTTCTCAGTAAAAAGTATTTTATAGTTATCTGAGCATATATAAGATGTCAGAGCCAGAAACTACTCATAGGGTTGGGTTTTTTTTATTATGCAGACATTCTTCTATTACATGGTTATGGATGACATAGATGACACTGTACTTCATCAAAATTTTAACAAACCAATAAGAAAATTCTGGAAGTGAGTACACTGAGAAGATTAAATTAAGCTATGATAAAAAAATTAACTGGATGAAGATAATTGATTTTGACAACACTATCCTAACAGACACAAGAACACTAAAATTGCCCATTAAGCTTTTCTGAAGATATTTAACAAAGTAAGAGAATATCATCTTCAATGAACAACATACATATAAATAAAAGTAAAGCTTTGGAGTTAGTTAAAAAAACAATCAATTCTGAAACCAGCTTATTCTTGAAATTACCCATAAATCAATGATTGATGCAACAGTTCACAGTCTGCATCATATGAATCAGAAACTGTCCTGTAAATAGTTCACATTACCCAAGTTTTTCAAGAGCCCTTCATCACAAAGAGTAACTGTGTCAGCAGCAGAAGCACTGGTGAGAGAAGCTATCAATTCATAAAGTGGGTAGATCAGCATCAGACTGTAAAAACAGGCAGACAAACCTGACACTATGGGCAGGGTTCACGTTCCTACCTCAATAGGAGGCAGTGTCAATTTGCCACCCTAAGACTTCTTATCGTCTACAGAAGAAAACCAGGCAACTCTAAAAGGCAACACTTCTGATTTTAGGATGCAATTAATGACTCTCTGAATGTGGTGGTTGTCTTTTCTCCACCAAATGTACAAAAGAAGCACAGGGTAAGTTATTTAAAGACATGAAGTAGCTGACTGAAAACTGTTAAGATTAAGTCCTCCCAAATCCCCCCAACCCCATTCGTTTTTTGGTTTTAGTTTAAAGCATGTGATGACATTTACAGGGAACTCTGCTATTCATGGGATGAAATAATTTTGTCCTGAGAGGGGGTAAAAATGATGTAACTTTTAGAATAAGGAAATTTAAGTATTTTTGGTCTGGCAAGGACCAGAAACTTCATTTATATTAAACACACATGAGAGAAGAGATGGACTACAAGCAACTGTCTAGACATTTCATCAATGTTACAGAGCGTTATTCAGGCAGTTAGGGGAAAAAAGGCCATCAGATCTCTATAGCTGAACAATTTTCACCTCTCTCTGATCATTGTCAAGACGTAAGTGCTCTGTGTGTTGCTTCTGTCTGTCCTTCCGCCTCCACTGTGCAGGAGCATTTCTCTTTGTCCACCTACAGATAGAGGAATACTATTAGGCAAACATCAAGAGCTCAGTGAAGGGCAACAGCAATGTGGCACATAAGTTTCTATCTTACTGTACATTGAAGATGTTGACATCAGTTACACGAGACAAAGTGCAGCTGCAAATACATACAAAGAATCTCTACAGAAGAATCCAACACTGGGCAACCAAAGGATTTCAGAAAATTTTATCACGTACACTTGCTTTGTATTTTTCCACTCTTTTATGATGACCAGTTACAATTTACACCTTGTTCCTCTTCCTTGAAAGTTTTTATAAGAAGATATCCTAAAATATTTGCTAGCTCTAAACTAAGTTCCAGTAAGGAGATCTTCTTTTGTATCAACAGTAATTATAAGTAACTCAAAGTACATCAACTACAACATCAAACATAACAGGGCTTTCTTAAGTAAACTTGCTTTGGGAAGTTCAGATGTTAAAAAAAAAAAAAAAAAAAACAGGCAGGAGACATAGCTTAAGTACCTTTCTATAGACCTTGCCAAGATCCAGCACCTGTTGTCCTAGCTTACTCACTTGTTGCTTGCTGGTCCAGTGGATAAAACATCAGACTGAAGCCTGGGAAAGAATCCAAGCTCATATTTCCCTTGTCCGATTTTCATGTCCAGCAAATGTGGATGGACTGCAGTGTGATCTATTTTTGCTAGCCTTAATTCAATAGATTTCTCTGAAACAGTAAGAAAATTAATTTTTTAAAGATGTCTTAATCAGACATGTATTTATAATCATACAACATTAATGAAAAGTGGATCTCACATGTAAGAGGTGGAAGCTCCTTACTGACTCCAACAGGTACACTAGTACAAAAGTGTATTAAAGAACTGCCACCAAAAGGATAAAATTATGTTTACCTTCTTAAGCTCAAACATTTTTCACACAGAGGATGCAGGGAAACAATTGAGTTTAATTAAACTTCACATGAATTTCATCTTACATCTCAGTTTCCTATATAACACTGAGTTCTCCACTTCAGCTCCACACCTCAGCTTGGTCTATTTTATTTTGAGGTTTCAAAGTATGAATCATTACTTAACTTTAACCTAATGTATACAACAAACAGCACTGAATAGTTTTGTTTTCTTAAGTTTCAAGAAAGTGTCTAATTACTCTTACCAGCCTCATCAATGGTTGTGCACTTCTGATACATCGATGTGCGCAGAGTGGGTGTCCTAACATTTAGCAGCCTAATTTTATCCACTCTAGAATCAAATACTCTCAAAACAGGGTCTTTATCATCTTCATCATGGCACATAATCTTATTGTCAATAAAAGATGCAAACATTTGGGTCTCCAGGAATCTTGAGAGGAAAGGCAAGTAAGGTTCAGGCTGGTCTGACAAGAAAGATGCCTAAGAGACAAGAGATAAGAGTGTTTGGGAGTCTGCAGAGAAACGTACATCCACCAAAAGCACCAGTTTTTCTAAACACAGATGCATTAGAGTGTTTTTGTGCCACTTAAAGCCTAGTTTTATTTCACACAGCAATTCCATCTCTGAAATCGGCAGTCTGTACAAAGCCTTCAGTTTCATGACTATCACCTACAACAATTATTAAATTGTCATTTTAGCATTTCCTTTATTCTCTAGAAATTTCCATAGTTTCTCAGCAAACCACAGCAACAGTACCACAGGTGTGGATATTATGTACTTCTGGCTGGGTTCAAAGCTTATGAAGTTGATGAGAAACTTTTCATACGATTTGATGGGAATCAGATTAGTATATTAGCAGGCAGCACTGCAACATAATCTTAACTATCCTGATGACAAATACCTGTTGTCCAGTAAAGAAGACAGTAAAGTTTGAACCTGGTCTTTTGTTTCCCTAGGAAAGAGCTAGGAATACATTTGATACATTTGTGCATAAGCATTATGCGGGGTCATGGCTTTATTCATTAACATTGAGCAATTCTTCTGGTTAAAAAAATAACAATTTTAACTAGTAATATTTAACCTTAATGTAGAGGTTAGCCATAAGGTGAGGCTTTCTAAGCTGTTTTTCTACAGCAAGATGTATCTTTCTACAGTATCCTTAGAAGAGTATCTTTATCTAAGTGTGCATATGTATATATTTTCCCACATGATATACAAGATGTGATTTATTTGGGGAACAATGAAATTTAAGGAAGAAGTTATAATTTTGACAGTACTGTTTTCCATTCTAGAGCTCAATAAACAAAGTCTTATATTTCAATACTGTTTTTATTTTCTACATTGACATATTTTCTTATTATAACTTACTTTATCAAAGTTTTGCATCTGTTCCCTGTTTGTAAACCAAGATTCCTTGTCCTGACTGGGCTGAATGACAAACACTTCGTAATCTGCAAACATTTGTGTAAAGCGGTTGGCAAACACTTCACGGATTTGAATGTTCAGCTGGTAAATCTTGAATTCTTCTTCATCACACTGAATTTTAAGATCCTTTTTGCTACTGGTCTCCTCTCGCACCTCCAACTAATAAAATAAGGAAACAAATAATTGGTATTGTTGTAGACCTAGAATACCTGACAAAACAAGATCTTAATCCGACATTCAGCTGCTACTCAAGTCAACATTCCAATTAAAAAAAAAACCATTACAGTTTCAAGCAATATAAGAGAACAGCAATACCAAAAACAATCTAGAAAGACACCTTTATTTACACAAGTTCTAGTTTCAGTTAGAAACCATAACCTACACTAACACAAATTTCACTGGTTATGCTTTAGTTTAAAAAAGTATAGATAACAACCATGGCCGTGTATGCCATAGACTTGATTTACTTTCTTCTACCCTTTAATTACCTGCATAGGCTTTTTAGGGGTTTTTACCACCCCTGCGTATTAGGCAAATACATATCTCTGTCTGGTGTAATACAAGTTCTGGTTTAATGCAGTTATAGCTTAATACATAGCAGCTTTCAAATGAAAATAGAAATGCACAGCAAAAAGAAGCTGTGCAGGTCTAGTAGCCAACTCCCTGTAATATAAGTCCTTAGCATCATAATGCACTACACAGCCTAGAGTAATCTTTAATGTAATGAAAAGCATTTTCAGTTAACATACGGGCTGCCATTAAAACAGCAACATGAGGTTCAGACATTTAATTAATACTACTTCTTATAGGAATTGAGTATCCAGAAAAAAAAAGTCTTTTTAAAAAAAATCAAACCCACAAGCATTCATGCACTAGTTTGAATACAGATTTGCTACCCCTGCCTTTGTTAGTTATTATAAGAGGCATCGCCACACATAATTAGATGTAACATCCAAAGCTTACAACATCTGCACAATGCTGCAGCTGCTGCAGCTGTCCCATGCTTCTTAGAGCACCCTGGTTAGAGGAGCCCAAGGCCAGCTACAAACTGCATCCTACAGCCATGCTCTCTGCTAGAGACCGCTCTGCTCTTCAGCCATTTCTTCCAACTGCATCTCGTAAGCAGCACTTGGCATCCATACATTCCTCATTAATTGGGTATTTGGCATTAAGCAGGTTTTTTTATTTATGTATTTGAGAAAATTTTGACAGTTATAACCTATACAATCCTATCATCACAAAAAGGGCTAGTAAAATGGGACTAACTGCCATGGAAGAGAGTAGATAATGCCCAAATGTTCAAAAAACTTACAAGAATTTAAAAAGACTTGTGCTTTTCCCATCACCTCCCAATTATTCAGCAAAAGAATAAAAGCTTCTTACCAATTTTCCCCTAAACAAGAAGAAAATAATGCAAAATAAAAACCTAAGAAGAGGAACATTGCCAATTTGAGCATCTAATCCTAATCCTGTCTAATAACCGAATGCTGCTTCTTGTAACCCCGCCTGCAGCTCCCTCTCCACAAAGCAGCTCTCCTTCCTGATCTGTTGTAGGTGACAATTTCTATCCCTGTTTGGCTCCACCTATAGCCCAAGTTGGTCACACAGGTAAAAATCAGACTCAATGACAAACTAGTCAAGAGAAATTTAAACATGCAAGAAATAAAAACTTGGCTAGAAAAATATTCACTCCATTCTACAAAGGGTCAAAAACCCCAGAGTAGTCTTTCAGGGTAGGCAATACCTTTTATACAAAAAGGGCCACAACTTGTTTTTCCCAATTCTAATCCCCCAAAAAATCCAACGAGGGTCACCACAAGCTGTGCACATTCACTTCCCTGGAATCAAGACACTAATGCACTTTATAGTATCAACCACAAAGAAGCATCACATACCCCTGTGGCAAGCATATTATAAAAAAAAATTAAACATATGCGAAAAAGAGATACCCATAGGAACCAAGACTCGATTCCAACCACAGGGTTACTTGGATGACAGTTTTAGCCACGTAAATCATAAGAAGGTGATATAAATACAGAATAAATGTTAAAACCAAGAATAAACATAGTGAGGTGTATTTTTAAACATGTTATCTCAGAAAAGAAACACTTGGGGGATAACCAAATGGTTCCCTAGATGGTGTGAGGTTAAACCCCACTCCTCCAATCTTCTTCTCTTCCCTTGTCTCTACAGATGTTCACAAGGTTTGTGAACATGTAAAAAAAGCTCTTTCCAGTAAAGATGAAGTCAGATATCTGCAGATCCAGAAAGCATGAAGATATTTTACCGCTCACCTTTTCTAGACTCACACCTGTTCTTTTAACAAGTGCTTGGAGTCTTGCAATAGTCTCATTTTCCTTCAGCAGCTCATAGGAATTCAAAGGTGATCCTGCTATATTCCCATTTCTTTTATCAGAAACAAGGTCACATGCTCTGACACTCTTCATCTTGGAGACACTTTCACTGCAGTGAAGGTTTCCCTCAGGCGGAATTCCAAAAGCCATTAGTATCTCTGAAATTTCCTGAACAAACTCAAGTTTATTTGGGAACTGGGGTAAGTCTTCTGGCAGCTCAATGAAATGGTTGTCTACATCCACAAAGCACAGGTTAGCCTGGGATTTAATTGAGAACAGGATACCATTACAATATCACTAAGCAGAAGGTTTACGTTTTTATTCATCACTGGGTATAGTGCTTATTAAAAGATTCTCAAACATTTGCATTCGTTCGGTTATTTTATAAAACAGACTTGCCCCAACCATAACTGAGCTGATTGGCTGGCATTGAAGAAAACATCACAAGGCCTACATTTCCAGGTCTTTCGAGGTGGAAGAAAGAAGACTCATTTTACAGTTGTTTACTCATTTGGCATATGTAAGCAGGTGCCTGCCTGTTGCTCAGATTATCAGTCCACTCCTCTAAGAAATCTGGTGAATTCCATTCTAAAAGATCTATTGATATTGCAGAAGCTGCAATAAAGCAATTTTCTCTTTTTGAAAGCAACTGGAACACTAAGGAAATTCCTTGAATCTGTTTAAAAGTTTGTTTCCAAGGGGAAAAAATTCACTGAACTAGTTTTAATTTTGTTTTCCTGTCTCCATTTCTCTCATTTACCATCAAAAAAACCAAGGGAGGTGGGGGTAGTAGAAGAAGAAAGAAAGAAAAAACAGCTATGTGGCTTCCACAGCCACATCAAAAAAAGCTACACATCTTTCAAGTACTTACCTCACCCCATGTTTGGTGAGTGGGGGTTTCCACTTTGGCTTCTGCACTGAAAAATCTGTATCAAATGGTTTCATGACATTACACAACTACATACATCAAAGTAAGAACCCCATTCATGTGTGAAATCTGCTTGTAAAGTTAAGTATACAGAAGAAAGTTTGTTTTTCTGTAGAAAGCATTTCAGTATTTCTTCACTGCAGAATTATCATGGACTGCCACTGTTCTGTTTAGCCTTCCCTATACAAAACCTCTTCACCCAGATTATGGGGCACTTTCAACCTAGCTTCATCGTGCTATTCTAGGAGGCACACCTGAACTCAGGGTTTAGTATAAGTTTGCAGCAAAAATACATATCAAGTTATGAGAGCTAACAGATGTATTTCTTATGATTCAGTAAGTGCAGAAGGACAAAAGTACTCTCACAATTTAATAGGAAGGAAAGAATTGGAAGAGATAAACCTCATACCAAATGAATGATGGATGACCCTAAAAATCAGAGCAACATACACAGTGAAGTGTCAGTAAGGAAAAAGGAGTTCTGGTAGGATTTTGCTGTGGGACTGACCATAGGTACCCTAAGATAAATTAAGGGTTCTCTCAGGTACATCTTAAGTAAACTGATGTGAAAACATACATCTAAGACTTGTGACAGATTTAGCTCTCTTGGCATTTCTACAGAACACAGTTAGGATACAGTGATCATCATTTTACACATACAAAATTAAAATAATATAAAGACAAGACACTTGGCAACATGTGCATTTAGAGATCTAACTGAAAGAGCATCAAGTTATTCGCTTGGTATTTCAGGTCTCTAGAGTAGTCAAATATTCTTTCATTTGTTGCTGATGTATTGGTTTTATGACCACAAGAAAACCTCAAATAGTTACACATCACTTTAATAGCAGATTGTTATAGGAAAGGACACAACATCAGCACAGAATAAAAAGTTGTCCTGGGACACTACACTAAGGAACAAGGGTGTTGTGCTTTGAGGCTCGGAATGGGGGCGTGACCTTCCAGCAACTGGGAGGACCCCAGGTGGGGGTGAACCATTGTGTTCCCTCCCCTTCCCACACACACCCTGATAAGAGGCAGGGAGTGGTTTCTAATTTCACTCCTGCCTTGGAACTCGGAGAGGGAGGTTGTCCTTTCACTCTGTGGGACCCTGGAACCATTTCTGAGGGTTTTGTATATTTTATTTTTTGTATTCTCCCCTAATCTTTGTATATATTATTTTCCTTACCTCCCTTTTTTGTTTTCTGTTCCTTGTTGAACAATATACTTCATTTTTTTTCCAAAGTGTCTCTCTCTCGGGGGAGGGGAGAGGCGAGTACATAGTTCTGTTCCGTGTGGGTCCTGCCCTGAACCCCTTTTTACACGGAACCAGGACATAATTGGCGCCCAATGTGGGGCAGGAGCAAATGAGCAAAAGAGATTTTACATTGAAAAATTTGAAAGTTAAGAAAATGCTGTTAATGCAAATAATAATGTATTTCATT